TCAGAAAAATGAGACTACTGTAAAATATTATAGAAAAAGTGATCAGTTTCTGAACCATGAACTGTGAAAACAACAACAATAAAAATAAGCCCTCAGAGTAAAACTACATTATGGCCTAGCTCGGGCCTTTTAGAAGACACCTGAAGGACTTATAGACATGCTCACTCTTTCATATCTCTCTTTCTCTCTGGATACATATATATGTATATATATATGTATATATATGTGTGTGTGTATGTATGTATGTGTGTGCACGTATACATACAATATATACATATATGCATATGCTATATGTGTATATGCTCTATGTATATATAATATATATATGTGTGTGTGTGTGTGTGTTTATATATAGAGAGATAGACAAGTGAAGACATCCTGTCTCATTTGCTTCTCCTAGTACTAGAATTTCTTGCACTTCAACAAAGAAAGGAAGGAAGAAAGAGAGAGGGGGGATGGAGGGAAGGAATATAGATGTAAAAAATAAAAGGAACCACTATTTACAGATAATATGATTGTCCATGTGAAAAATCCCGAAGAACACATCAAATTATTTAATCAATGGGTTGAATCCTGACAAAAGCAAAAGCAAGTAAAAAAATGTTAAAAATAAGTTCACAGTGTATGAGATAACCACAAGAATATTAATTGTATTTCTATTAGCAGCATCTCAAGTCTGGAAAGTATTATATAATTTTTAATTGCTCTAAAGAAAAATTAAATTCATGCACATAAAGAGACATATATGGGACACATATGCTAAAATTATAAAATCCTGATTAAAGCAGAATGCTTGAAAATAAGTGGAAAGATGTATGTTTCATGAGTTGGAAGAGTTTGCATAGTCAAACTCAGTTCTTTCCAACTTGATCTAATGTAATTTAATGCAATTTCTATAAAAATTACAAGTAGAAACTTGTTGGCTTGGTCAAACTTAACCTAAAATGTGTACAGAAACCCACAGGATTAGAAGAGCTAAAGCAGCCTTGACCAGTTGAAGGAATGTATTCAGTGTTAAGGCTTATTATATAAATATAGAGAACGGGAAAGTGTAAGATATGTTTTAGAAATATAAACTGAAACAGTTTTCTGGTTTAGAGCTACCCAGGGCTCTTAAGGTTGCTCCTCCCCCCATACTAATCCCTAAAAAGTAAATGATAAACTGAAGCTTGCCAAAACTAAGAACTTTGGTTTTAGGAAAGAAGAAAATACCTACCAACTATGCATCTGACAAAAACACAAGTATTTCTGGCGTATAAAAGAAATCTCCAAGCCGGGCGGTGGTGGTGCATGCCTTTAATCCCAGCACTTGGGAGGCAGAGGCAGGCGGATCTCTGTGAGTTCAAGGCCAGGCTGGACCGACAGCCTCCAAAACAATACAGAGAAACCCTGTCTCGTAAAACCAAAGGAAAAAAAAAATCTCCAGTCTCAAAAACAAAAACAAAATGCAAATAGGATATAATCCAGTGAAATTAGAGGAAACTTTACCAAAGAAGATACAGAAGAAAATCATGGGAGAAGCTCAAAATATTTACTCATTTAAGAAAATGTAAAATTAACATAATCTGAAGAATAAAACTAGAGACCACATTGCCCACCAAATCCTGAGAAAGACAGAGAAGACCAGCGTGCTTTGGACTGAACAGGAAATGTCCTCCTGGTTTGAATGATCCACCCACAGCTTGTGTTGCTATTTTGAAGGCTGTGGACCGTTCAGGTGCTAGGGCCTGGCTGGCAGGAGCAGATCACTAGGTGGACTTTGGAAGATTATACCCACTTCTCATTCTGGCTTGCTCTGTGCTTTTCACCTGCTGTAATTTAGCCAGCAGCTGCCACATGCATCTAGAGCCATGAACTCTACCATGGCTTTCTGCTGTCATAGACCGAGACCCTTAGAAACCATGCACACATAACACATGCACACAGACGCACATGTGGGCACAGAAACTAAAATAAATCGTACACTATATTTTACAAGCTGGGAATAAAACACACATAGCTGCTTTAATCCTCATTTCTGTAACTGGTCTTGTTTGCTTCCTCTTCATTGGACACAAGACACATTCCTCTGTCAGCCAGTATTGCAGGGTAGGGTAGATAATATGAGTGCTAATTTCTAAAGGCTCTGAAACCTTGATAGTACTACTTGGGTGTGTGGTTTGAATATTCATTGAACTGTCACACATTTCCTGAGAACAAACCACCAAAAATGTGCTGGTTTCATGCAACAGAAATCTATGCTCATGTAGCTCTGGTGGCCAGAAGTCCAAAGTCAAGGTGACAATGGTCTGACTTCTTTTTCCAGCTGTTCAGAGGGATCTCCCAAGGTCTTCCTCCAAGCTTTTGATGATGGGCCCTGACTCTTCCCATCCTTTGACTTTGAGTGTGTCAGTTTAATGTGTGTCCTGTTCCATGTGGTCTTTTATGTTTTCCCCCCTCTTTGTAAGGATACTTCCATTAATTCACGGATGATCTCTGTAATCCAAGATTACCTCACTTCAAGATCACTTAATTTAATCAAAAGAAGAGGAAATGACCCACTTTTCAAATATGGCTATAGTCAGAGGTTCTAGATTGTCATATTTGCCCCAAGACAACCTTTGTATCCTAAATGTGGTTGTTCCTGGCTCCAGAAGCCTTTTGTACTTGATAATTAGAATTAATTGTCTATCAAGTACAAAAACCAAAATGGTTGTATATCCCCTTGCCAATAGTTTAAGCCCGGAGGAGGCTAGAAGGCCAGATGGCAGACTCAACTTCCAGTTCAATAAACCATTATTGTGCCCTCTGAGAAATAAGACTCTAAGATTAATAATGCTGAAGTTTCAGGGATGAAAAGCAGAGTGGTCTGATTGTTTTATTGGCTGTGATATCAAAGAAAGTCTGCCTTATTTTCACTCTATGCTTTAATTGTAGTCAAGCAGGGCCAAGAATCAGCCATATGAGGGAATCACTAAGGCCAAAGAAACTATCATTCCTTAGATATCCAGGGTGCCATGTGAAAATGTTTGTGTATGTTCAAGTACATCTTTCTAACATGCTCCCACATACAACCTAGTAGATGATCCAACTATCTCCAATCTACAATTACAAAAATCTTTAACCACCCCACTATGGCAAATAGTTCAGTCAGCTCTATTGAATACAAAGGAAACAATATTAGCCATCTATCTCTGGGTCCATAATCTCTTTCCCAAATGAGAAACAGTAACTTATACAGCATATCCTTTTTCATGGCATTCAGAGTAGTGACACCCAGAGGCAACCAAAATCTCATGCTTGACCACAATACATCCAAGGGAATAAAACCAGACAGGGAAGGTAGAAAGATCAGCAAAACATGTATACTAACCACATACAATAAATGTCCGACAAGGAATATGTTTTGCAAATTGACTATGGTGATATGATGACCTTGGAAATGACCTAGTTGTTGAGGAGAATAAGAAGGAGAATCCCCTCAACCCATAAACCAAAACTGGAAGGACGTTTGATGGATAGAAAATATCTAGTAAGACTGGAGCATTGTGAGAGCAATAGTACAAGGTCATCAAGAGTCTTCAGGTTCTGCAAGCTGAGTTAAAAGTCTGGATATACCATGCTTCATTGGGTTTCATTCTCTGTTCCCTCCCTCTGTATAAAAATGCTCCATGTATTTCTCTGAATTGAACGTGGTAGATTTCAACAACTGCTTACCAGATACAGTGTAAGCCAGGCCTATTACCCAAACATCTTTCTCTCCCTGTATTTTTCGCTGTATATCAAACAGTGTCTCTACTAAAAGGAAACACATAAATAAACAAAAACCAAAGGCATCTGCTCCTGGGACCTTTCCAGGATCCTTCTTTGAGCACACTGGGTAGCTCATTCCCCTAAGTACTTTGGCACTTCATTTAGAGTATTCCTGAATCCAATGAACTCTTTAGTAAGTAATTTGACTCAGGACCATGAGAAACAAAAAATAAATCTCGGTTTAAAGAGACTATGGCATGCATCCAGTTCAATATCACTGATTGAATATAAACAAAATATTCCTCCATCCAGTCCAAACTCATAAATGATACAACATATGAACATATTTTAGAAACACAGATCCTACTATGAAAACCAGGAAGAGAACTCTCATGCAAAAGACATCAACACACATTTGTTTCCAAATAGCCATGGCAGCTGGCTACTACTTTCAAGTGAAAGTACCCAGGATACACAGGCTCAGCTTCAGGTCCTCTGTGTTGGGATCTGAGCCCCACCACTGTTTTAGGATATTAGTTTAAGATGTGTTACATGTGTTTATGTAGTGGAATAATTGTTTAATGATGCAACGGTGTGTTGCATTTTCTTATGCTGCATTTGTTTAACTCTGTGAAGCTGTGTTACTTTGCCTGTCTAAAACACCTGCTTGATCTAATAAAAATCTAAACAGCCAATAGCTAGGCAGGAGTGACTAATAGACGGGCTGGCAGTGAGAGAATAAATAAAAGAAGAAAACAGAGGGAGGAGCGAGAAAAGGAGGAGAGGAGGATACCATGGATCAGCCACCCAGCTACACGGCCAACATGGAGTAAAAAAAAAAGAAAGACCTGTAGAATAAAGACAGCTAAAAAGAACAAAGGAAAAAAGTAGTTAAAGAGAAACAGGATAATTTAAGTTAGAAAGGCTGGCTAGAAACAAGCCAAGATAAGGATGAGCATTCATAAGTAAGAATAGGTCTCTGTGTATTTATTTGGGATCTGGGTGGTCGGCCCCCAAAAATTAAAAAAAAATCAACCTCACCCCACATCTGCATGGTTGAGGCCTGAACCATTGCAGTTGGGGGTAAGAACAAATACCTAAGATTAAATAACAAACTCTTCCTCACAGAACCTCATGACCACTTTGGGACATGTCATCACCTGTTTAGAACTTTTAGATTATTCTAGATTCCTAGAACTGCCCTCACAGATTGTTGAATGGAAGTGATCTAAAAAAGCAGAAACACGCCTCCATTCTGAAGGTAAAAGTCTGAAGCACGCATTCGGAGGCCTCTGCTCCCTCAGAAACCTTTAAGAAAGAACCCTTTCTTGCCTCTTCCTGGCTTCTGGCTGTTTGCCAGCCAACCTGGACATCCCCTGGTGGAGCAGTACCACTCCATCCTTGACCTCTATATTCATCAGAGTGTCCTCGACTTCCTCTTCTTACGGTATTTGTCATAATGAATCAAAGAGTCCACCTTATAGTGTGACTTCATTTTAACCTAATTGCATCTATAATGACCATATTTCCAAATAAGGTCAAAGCCTACAGACTTAGAATTATACTGTCAATGTGTGATGCATAACATAGATATTAAGTATACTCACTCCATCTATTCATATAGGAAGGTAGAATGAACATATTTTCAGATGTATTGCACCCAGAGCAATGATACATGCACAACTGTATACCCAGTGTTTATTCCTGGGATGTCTCTTTCTTGGGCATTTGTATACCTATAAAATATGTTTTACTGGTCATTAAATGTCATATAAATGTCTATTCGTAGTTCCAACTTTCCATATTCTAATAACACCATATTATTCCTTGATGTCTCAGGTTCAGTGATGACAAAGAATTCCAGCTTTTGCCACTTTCTGAGTGTTTTTTAAACTTTATTCATCTCCTAACCTTGCTGATGCCACTATAAATAGTCCTAAGTAGCCACAAAGCACACCCATCAAGTTACATTAGGGTGTTGGGTCATTCATATGTTTAAGGAACACACAACTCTTTTGCCAGGGGGCAAGTGAACTCCTGGGAATATCAGGCAAGAAATGGCTGGTATCTTTCCTAAAATGTATCAGCCACTGGCACGTGATATGACCCACTGACCTAGCAAATGCTTTCTTTTTAGTTTTCATCAGAAACTATAACCTACAATGCCTCACCTTTGCCCTAGAGTTTCCAGCAGTACAGCCTTGCAGTCTTTGTTCTGAGTGGTGTCTGATCTCTGTCATGTTAGGGTCTAAACTAGAACAGTGGTCCTCAAAGTGCTACCAGTGAACCAGTGTCTGGTCTAAACTTCACACTTGTCCCTGGAGAATCAGGAAGTCTGTAACAGAATGAGAACTAAGTCACTAAGCCTATTGTTATGGCAGACATTCTTTTTACCTTTAAAGGATTATTTGTTTTGCTAGGGAATAATGTATAAATATACATGCAGGCATATGAGCTTTATCTCTGTAATGCAGACAGGTCCTCCTCCTTGGGAACTCGAGCATCTTATTTTTCAGTGGAATATTGTGATGGAGTATCCCCACTCTGTATCATCATCAGAAAAAAGCTAACTAGGAGATGCCCCAGATTGTGGATGCATCACTGAGAAAAACCCATGAGAACGGTTGTGACATGAATCCTAAAGTGTCAGCCTGTAGCTTCTAAGTGATAAACAGTTGCTTATTTTTGTACAGCCAATAGCAGAAGAGCCCCAGAACTTGGTTTATCTCATTGTAATTGAGAAGAAACAAATATATTTGGGTGTTGTGCCAGTCTGAGTTTTTCCTGCTGTGATAAACACTATGACCAAAAGCAACTTGGGAAGGAAAGAGTTTATTTTATCTTATAAATAAGATTAAAAAAAAAGGCTTACTGGATGTTATGAAAGGAAGACAAAGCAAGGAATCAAGCAGAATGGGAACCTGGATGCAGAAACTGAAGCAGAGTTCATGGAGGAACACTGCTTAGTGTCTTGATCTCCATGACTTCCTTAGTCTGCTACATTGTATAACCCAAGACCACTTGCCTAGGGAGTGGTTCCACCCACTGTGGGCTTGGCTTACCTTATGGGAGTTGTCCTTCTGTATATGGTTCTCTTATTGGTTGATGAATGAAACGCTGATTGGCTAATTGGCCAGGCAAGAAGAATAGACAGGGCTAGGAGATGAGGAGAATTCTGGGAAACGTAGGTAAACAGGGTCCCCAGGTAAGGACCAGGAAGAAAGGGCTCAACAGGCATTCTCCGGAAAGACAAGACCATGTGGAAATACATAGATTAATAGAAATGGGTTAATAATTAAGACAGAACTAGCAATAAGAAGCCCAAGCCACCGGCCAACAGGTTCATAACTAATATAACACCCATGTGTCCATTTGGGGCTGAAGGGTGGCAGGACCAGCTGGGGCAAAGAACCTCACACTACTCTTACCCATCAGTCATCAGTCAAGAGTATCCTAAACTGACTTACCTGTCTAAATGATCAATCTGATGGAGGTATTTTCTCAACTTAGGTCCCATCTTCCCAGATGATTCCAGCTTTTGTAAAGTTAACAAAAACTAACCCACACAGATGGTCCCTCTGTGGTCCATCTACAGTGTAATTTTAAAGTTACTGTACTAAAAGATATTTGGAACAATAGAGGTTTCTGCAGGAGACTCAAGCTTCCTACAGCTGACCTACCACTTAGATCTATGTTCTAGGAGACAGAATAGTACTTGAAGTGTTTTTACCAGAGGAGATAAACTCTGTTGCCAACCATGGAGACATCACACTGCAGATCCTCTGGAGCTCTCATTTACCTTCTGCCAACTGCTCATTTCCACTGGTGAGGGAACTCCAGTTAGCTACTTGGCATTTGTAGAACAGGCACTGCTGACAATAGCCTGGAACATCCAGTGATTATGAGTATGAAACAATCATCAAAAGGTGGAGTTATCTGACCCAAGACATTACAAACTTAGATGCGTGCTTCAGTGTTAAACACAAATGGCCTTTGGAAGACTGTGCCCAGTCTGAAGAAATCAAAAGTACATTTCTGGCAAAAAGACTCAGCTTCCTCTCAATTCTGCACCTGCTCTTCTATGCCTCTCCCTGAACTCACATCCAGGGACTTGCTAAGGCGCTGAAATATCTATGGTTTTGTTTCTTAGAGACCCGATGGCTGGTTGGCATGCTAGTGTCTTTTCCTCTCTCCTTGTTTCATAGGGCTTTGGACAAGGGTTGGCAAATAACTGTTGTGTGCCACGACCAGCATGCCACCTGTTCTGTACTGCTCCCAAGCCAAGAGTAGATATTACATTTTAAAATGACTTCAAGGGGAAATAAAAGGAGAGAAAAACCAAGAGTATGTAACATGTAAACATTATCGGAGATTCAAATTTGAATCTCTATAGCAGCTTTGCACAGCAAAGCTCAAAATACTGGCTAGCCGGCTTTTTATGGAAAGCATCTAATAACCCGATTTAGAAGCCCAGAATTCTTACAAGCATACTATATCCCATTAATGAGAAGTGCTTACAGGATATTGAAAGGATGAAAATAAGAAAACTTTTATGCCTTTATATGATGGAAGCAAACTGCACAATATTTGGCAGACTAAGGGTAGAAGTTTGATAAGCAGTGGTTAAATAATCTCTTCCAAATGAGCAATGACAAGATATGACTCCTGCAGTTTGTATTTTTAAATTTGGATAACCGCTTTCTCCCAGGCTTTATTCTTCCACCTTCCCAATGATTTGTGTAAGTCCTGCATCCCTATATTGAATCCTTTCTTCCTGGATCAGTAATGTGGGCATCTCTCAGTAGAATGACAAATGCTAGACAAAAGCTCAGGAGGAAAGGTGTTTTAGCTCAGTTTCAGGATATGGTTCATCATGGTGAAGAAGTCGTGCCAGGAGCTGGGGGCAGCTGGTAACATTGCTTCTGTCTTTAGGAAGAGGGGAGAGAGAGAGACCGAGAGAGAGAGAGAGAGAGAGAAAGAGAGAGAGAGAGAGAGAGAGAGAGAGAGAGAGAGAGAGAGAGAGAGAGAGAGAGAGGGAGGGAGAGAGAGATTCTCAATTGGACACCACCCCACAGAGTAATGTTGCCCACTTAAACTTCAAAAACCCCAATCTAGAAATTGTCTCATAGATTGGTTCAGAGGTTTATCTCTTAGGTGACTGTGTATTCTATTAAGTCGGCAATCAATTTTAACCATTATGCTTTGTTTTCTTTTTTAAATTAATTTTAATTAAATTAACTCAAGTATTGAGTTTCAAGACAGCTATTTTCATACATAGTTTTTATATCAGTTACATTTATTTTCCTAAAATGTCATATTTAATTTTATCATTACAGTTGAATAAAATTTTATTGTGTAGTATATAACACATTTTGTTTATCCATTCATCTCTTGATAGACATCTAGACTAGTCTTTTTTCTTAGCTATTGTAAATATTACAGTAATGATCATGGACATGCAAAGATCTCTGTGGTTGGTCTATTTTTAGCTATTTTTTAGAAGCCTCCATTCGGTTATTCATGATGGTATAGCCTTAGAAGTATGATGATATAGCTTCATGAAGTATGAGTGGATCAACTCAGAAAAGCAATGCTTCAGTTAAAATAGCAAATCACTATCTAGCATCTGAATGCAGCGGTGGGAACTGTGCTTTGGAAAAGCACACCATGAAAGAATTATTACTTAATCAGGAGAGAGAGGGGGCATTTCTTTCAGGAAGTGAAAAGTGATCTTAGATCAGGAAGATCTTAGCAAAAGCCTGAAGCTTTCAGGGTAGATGTCCAGGGCTTTGGGGCTAGATAAGATATTAGAAGAATGGAGTGCTGTGTGCAAGTCACTCTCCCAGAACAACATGAATACTGCTTGTTTTGGTGTTTGACCAGCGATTGCCCAGGCTGAGACTCGATTGCCACTTTGGCAATATTTGCAGGAGGAGCTTTTGAGGAGTCTTTGGAATGTGAAGGGCCAGGGCATCCACCCTCTGCTTGCTCTTTTGTTCTCTTGGCTTCTGCCATGTGGTGACACTTCAAGAAGGTCCATACCAGATGGACACCTTGACCTTGAGTTTCCCAACCTTTGGAAGTGTGAGGACCTACCCTTCGTAAATCATTACATCTATGCTCTTGTGTTGCACAAGTCTAAGACAGATGCTCCTACTATAAAGAGAGAAGTGTCAGAGGGGCTGGAACTTAAGAAGAAAAGTATGAAACAAAGTGGAGGGACACAATAAGGCCTTCTAGGCTTGGTTAGGGCTTATGATTTTTTTTCCTCCGGGGAGCCATGGTATTTGTTTTCTGTAGGTCATTAAAACTGTTACAGATAACATAAAGATAGGGCTTGACTAATGAGTGGACACGTGAGAGAAAAGAGCATGACTAAAAAGGACAAGATATATTAGTGACTTGTAAATCAGCAGGTTCACTGGGCATAGTGGCTATTGATGAAGAAAGTATGTGAGGGGTCTAGCATGGCAAGGGTTTAGGTTTTATTTTGGTGTTGAAGAACATTTCTCTGGGCAGCCCCAAAGGTACTTACCAGAGATGTTTTCTGTGGTAAAGCTTCAATTGAAATATTGGCTTTGAATTAAGGCTGAGAAAGTCTTTTTTTTTTTATTAATGGTGGGGTTCTGTGGTTCATGAAGTGAGAACGAGGCTTAGAGACACAGGAAATTGGTGGCTTTGGTAAAGTGAAACCTTTGAGTTGTTTCTGAGTAAGAGGGGCTGTTACAGGACTCTTTTGAAGCCATTGCTGTAGCATAAAGGACTTAGCGGAACGTGTGAACAGGGCTAAGTAAAGGCCAGATGTCTGAGGCTATGTCTACAGCCAGCCAGGTCTGATGATCTTATCCTGTGACAAGCCAAAGTGAGCCAAGGAGAAGGAGGCTAAAGGAGATGGCATTAGTGCTTCCAGGCACAAGAAAGAACGGTTTAAATTTTAAAGGCATGTTAAAGTCTTGGGAAGAAGAGTACCATCAATCAAACAAATCCACAGACATTTGCAATGGCCAGGTAAGCAAAAGCTAGCAGTACACTGATAGAATTAGTTCATGTTTTAGGGCAGTGGGTCCAGCATGCAGGCAAGTTACTGGGGAACATTTGCTAGAAACACCTGACAGGTGAAGAAAGGAGCCTTGGTGTGAAGGAAAAACTTGCTTGTGAGAGTTGTCCCAGTGAAGGCAAAGAGCAAGGCATTTGTATCCTGGCTTCAACTTAATTATCTGCTGCAGGTCCTCAGAGGCACTGAATTAAATAGGAAAATGAGGGACCAGCATAGATGGGTCTTCTGAGTGTTAAGGGTGACACATGTATGTCATTTCCCAAAGCTGCAACTTTTTTTTTTCAAGACAGGGTTTCACTATGTAGCTTTGGCTGTCTTGGAACTCACTCTGTAGACCAGGCAGGCCTTGAACTCACAAAGATCCACCTGCCTCTGCCTCCCAAGTGCTGGGATTAAAGGTGTGTGGCACCACGGCCCAGCCAAAGCTACAACTTTTACAGAAGTTTTTAGATCTGTAATGGACATATCAGACAATTTCCCCGTTAAAAACACACAACTTGATTGTTTTCTAGTACATGTATATAGTTGGGAAACATTTTTTATTCTACTGTGAGGTAGTTTCAGAGAACCTTCTTTTGTCCCCCCCTCCACAATGAAATAATTCTCAGAGGGTAGAGAGATAGATGACTTAGTAACTTAGAGCACTTCCTGCTTTGCCAGAGGTCTCAAGTTTGGTTCCCAGGACCCACTTTTGTTGGCTCAAAACCACATATAACTCCAGTTCAAGAAATTTGATACCCTGTTCTGGTCTCACAGACACCTTCTCCACATATGAGGTATGCTCACACTCAAACCCAAATTAAACAAATCCTTTTCTTTTAAAGAAACAGGTCTTACCTCACAGATGAATGGACTAATGAGGGGATTTGATTCAGACCCACACAGACTGGAAAACTGACTTCAAGATATATCCACGGGCCACGTGCAAGATATATCTACGGGCTACATGCATTCACCGTGATCTGGACCCAGGGAGACTATTCATATCACCTGAGATGGCTAAGCACTTAGAAGGCTAGTAAAACACTCTCCTGGACATTTCCTTGAGGACATTTCCAGAGAGGATCATCTAACAGAGGAAGCCATTCCCTCAACCATGGGCAGCACCTTTCAATAGACTGGGAACTTGGGTGGAATCAAAGATGAAGAAAGAAGCCTGTTACTGCAGACCTTCTCTCTGTCTCTGCCTGACCAGCAGCAGGTGACTAGCTTCTGCCAGTGGTCCTGCTTCCCGAGACTTTGAGTGAAGTATGGTGGAATACACCTATAATTTTAGTACTTAGGAGGCTGAGGCAGGAGGATTATAAGTTTAACCCAGGCTAGCTTGGGTTATATAGTAATACTTATCTCAAAAAACAAATGGATAAACAACTAAATAAATAAATGGAATGAGATGATTAATCTTTTCAAGGAAATGGTTTTCAGGCTGTACCATGATTCTTGCAGAACACATCATTACTTTCTTTTCTTAGCAAGTCCTGGCAGGTTATATTGTAAAGCAGTCCTAGATATCTTTGTAGCATTCAGAAGAAAAATTGGGCTGTAGTTCAAGTAGATGATCTACTGTTATTATGTCTGGGCCTATGAAATTATAAGATCTAGTCTTTCTTGATAAGTGCTATGATTTGGACCGACCAGACCTCACAGGTTTGGGAATACAACCCTCTCTGGATAAGGTTCTCTTGTGATGACATCCTGTGTCTGACCCTCAGCCTTTTTAACTCATTAACTGAAAAAATGAGTGTCCATGTGGTTCCCAGGGGACTCTGTCTTTATCACTTTATCTTATATTGATGATTAATGGCCTTCCTTCTCTAAGGTGCCACTCATCACATCAATAATTATCTGGCCCTGTCATTCTTATATTTGTTATCCCAAATCTCTCAAAATTCAAAGATGCCTGCTGGGACATCAAAATTGCCAACATACAATGTCCCAGGTAGCAACAGGGCAAGTGTGTTCCTGTGTTCTGCTGTGAGTGATGGTATCCTAATGTCACATGGGCAGCAGTTGGAATCAGAATCATAGTTCTTAGTAAGTAGTAGCCTACAGTTCCCAAGTCAGGGTTTTTAGAAGACAGACTCTGAGACTGGCATGTTCATGCTGTTTCTTGAGGAGTGCTTCTACTGTAGAATGATACAAGTCAGAGATGAAGTAGGTAAAATAGGGGGAAGGACAAATTCAGACTGTGCTGTGTTATGACAGAACCTCACCTGGTCTGATGGAAGTTTCTGGAACTGGTGTAGTCCTCCAGAATTAATTCATGTGAGCAAGAGAAAAAAGATAAAAGGACAAGAGCACTTGAGCAAATTGGGAGCATGGGGGTGGGGGTGGGGAGGGAGGGAGGCAGGAGAAAGAGAAAGAGGATTGGGGAGGATAACATGAGGGATTTGGAAGATTGAGTCTGGGGAAGAAGAGAGGAGAGCAAGAAAAGAGATATCTCAATAGAGGGAGCCGTTATAAGTTTAAAGGGAAATGTCTAGAGATCTACAAGGTTAACCCTAATAAGAATCTAAGCAATAGTGGAGAGGCTACCTTAAATGCTCTTCCCTGATAATGAGATAATGAGAGCCTTCATCCAGCAGCTGATGGAAGCAGAAGCAGACACCCACAGCTAAACACTGAGCTGAACCCCTGGAATCCAGTTGCAGAGAGCAAGGCGTGATGAACAAAAGGGTCAAGACCAGGCTGGAGAGACCTATGGAGACAGCTGACCTGAACAAGGGCTGCTCATGGAACCCAGTTTTACAGCTGGGAAAACAACATAGGAAAACAATGGGTGTCAGGAGGCCTGGGCAATCTATGGGACTCTGGCAGGGGAATCAGTATTTATCCCTACTGCACAAATGGACTTCAGGAGCCCAATCCACATAGAAGGCTGATGGGGGAAGTCCTGTGTATATGTCAATAAAGCACTGTTGGGCCAATAGGGAACCAAGATAGATGGGACTAGGAGTCCAGAAGGACTCTGGGAAGGAGAAACACAGGGAGTCAAGATGTAACGCCATGGGGTAGGAAGCCCGGAAAGTTCTCCGGTAAGAGAAATACTTAGATTAACAATTATGGGGTAATTACTTAAGTCAGAGCCAGCCAGTAAGAAACAAGCAAGGTCAACAGCTTCATAATTAATACAGCGTCTTGTGTGTTATTTGGGGACTACAATGTGGCAGAGCCCAAGCGGCTGGCAGAGGAAAACGTTTCCCTTTACAGAAGGCTATTCTCTCAACCTAGATACACAAGGGAGGACCCAGGTCCTTCCCCAAATGACTTCACAGATTTTGATGATCCCTCATGGAAGGGATCACCTTCCCTAGGGAGTGGATGAGGGATGGGATGGGGTGTTGGGAGGACATGAGAGGATGGGAGGGAGAGGGAACTGGGATTGATATGTAAAATAAGATTTCTTATAATTTAAATAAATCTTTAAAAAAAGGTATTTCTACCATAGTTATTTATACCAATTAAATTCAAGCAAACCTTAAAGCAGTGTCTGAATCTTGACTTGAGGTAACTTCTTTCAGTTAAAGGCAGTTCCTAGAGACAAACTGAACCAGAAATCACTGGCAAACCATGTACCTAGCAGCTGAGGAATCCATGCAATTGTCCTAAGCACTTAGCATTCATTTCAGATGGAGGCCACTTAAATAATACTGAATGTGAAAAACAAACATATATTAGTTTTAAGAAAAGAAAAATATGCAGAAATGGACAATCTTGTAATATTTGTATTACAAGAACTGCAAAGATAAAAGAGTAGAAACACTGGGTCTTTGGGGCCAGTTCACCTTTAATGATTAATATTTCCCCTCCAGCTAAATTTGACTTTAAAGAAGTCCCCGAACACCATAGTGGATTTGAAGAGCCTGAAGAGACACGCACTGAGAATTTTATAATAATGCTATAATCAACTTTGGACTGAGAAAATATTCAAAACTGACACCACTGGTATTAAGAGTTCTGAATTTTTAAGGAAACACAGGGGAGTATCTTGTATAATATCATGTTAATGCCTTTGAAGAATTTTTATGTGTTTTGTTTTGCCACTTGAGATAAGTTCTTTACATAAGTATTAGAAGAGGCATAGATGGAATCTGTCTTCCACCTACTAAATGGATAGCAAGCAATCTTCTTGATGTATTCCCTGAGCCTCGATTTTTCACTTCTGTGTAATGGATGTAATTTTTGTATACCTTCACAGAATGGGTGGGATCAGTCAATAAGTGGCTGCTATACCCCAGTCGATGACAGTGACTATTATCAAATAAGACATATTGATACCTAGTTGATAATCTAAGCAAGGTCTTCTCTTAGAAGATGGAGTCAGTGGAACTGGTGTGAAATGTAAGATGTAAAATGGTGGCCTGAAACCGAGTTTTCAGTCATTGTCAACAGGGTTAACTTATACTGAGCCTAATACAACCAACCTAATACATGGGTAACAAATGAGAAAACTGATGTTCCAATTCAGATTTTATTTTATAATTATTATTTTTCAGTTTTTCAAGACAGGGTTTCTCTGTGGCTTTGGAGGCTGTCCTGGAACTAGATCTTGTAGACCAGGCTGGTCTTGAACTCACAGAGATCCTCCTGTCTCTGCATCCTAAGTGCTGGGATTAAAGGTGTGAACCACCACCGCCCAGCTCCAATTTTAAAATATAAAAGCAGAACTTGAGATGATTATGAGCATTGTTATAAATTATTATATATTCCATTTTAGTATTGAATTTTCTGTATATTAATCCTGGAAGAAAATATAATTATTCTTTATTGTTTCTTTAATGTACTTCTTAAAAAATTTTATTTTTAAATTTAAATTGGAAACAAGGTTGCTTCACATGTCAATCCCAGCTTCTTCTCCCTCTCCCTCCCCTCCTCACAGGCTCTCCCACCAATCCCTTATCCCCCCTCCCCAATTCTCACTCCTTTCCCCAGGGAGGGTGAGGCCCTCCATGGGGGATCTCCATAGTCTGTCATTTCATCCAGGGCAGGGCCTAGGCCCTCCCCCTAGAGTCCAGGCTGAGAGGGCATCTCTCATTGTAGGATGGGCACCCTAAGTCCATTTGTATGCCAGGGATAAATACTGATCTACTACCCAAGGCCACATAGATTACCTAGGCCTCCTCACTGACACCCACATTCAGGGGGTCTTGATCAGTCCCATGCTGGATTCCCAGCCATCAGACTGATGTGAATCCAGCATGGGACTGATCTTGCTTTCTTCATCCCTTAATGATATCTAGGACTGACAAATTCCATAGATTTATGTTGACCATCAACTAGAAGACATAATTAGGTGGTAAGTTTTTAAATTCCAACATACATTTCTATCTATGCCAGTAAAAATCCTTTCCCCAATCCTGAATGATTGTGGCCTTCCTTTTCCTTCCTTTTTCCTCCTTGTTACTTGATATTAAAAATAAATAAAGAAGTGGTGGTGCACACCTTTTTGTTTGTTTGTTTGTTTTGTTTTGTTTTGTTTTTACGAGACAGGGTTTCTCTGTATTGTTTTGGAGGCTATCGGTCCAGCCCGGCCTCGAACTCACAGAGATCTGCCTGCCTCTGCCTCCCGAGTGCTGGGATTAAAGGCGTGCACCACCACAGGAGGCAGAGGCAGACAGATCCTGTGAGTTCGAGGCCAGCCTGGTCTACAAGGCTATAGAGAAACCCTGACTGGAAAAATCCTCAACTAACTAACTAACTAACTAACTAAACAAATAAATAAATAATAAATATCTGAAGTCGATTAGTGAAAGAGAGAAGGGATGAGAAACAAGGGTTTAGGTTTTTAGATCTTTGCTTTTACAATTTCACTTTCGTTTGAATACCATGGGAAGATAGGCTGTCCTTGTGTGTGGGTTTCCTGAAACTGATGGTGCCCTTCTTTAGAAGTTCAGTAGGTTCAGGTATATCCCATACACTGATGGTAATGGTTGTATGCATGGCTCCTTTTTCACAGTCCCTGCTATCTGAGGTTACATAGCTGTCAATTTAACTCCAGAATAACCCAGGTGAGAGACTGGCTGATGTCTGATTCTATGTTCCCGTGTGATCTCAAACCCCAGAGGACACCAGTTAAGGTACTTAGAACTCTCTCACTGTACTCTGTTGTGATGCAGAGAATCAGAGTCTGTGAATTTAGGAAGTTAACAAGCATGGAAGAGAGATGAATTCTTCTAGATTATTCCCTTGAATCATAAAACCCTCTGTGCCAAAGGAAGAAGTATGCAGGTGGAGAAAGATTCAGTTCTTACCATCCATCTACCGGGAGCCACCTTAAGTGACCACTTCTGAAAAACCCCTTCCTAATTTTTCATCTGTTCAACAGATTTTGACAATAGATATGATCTGATATTTCTGTGGTTGTTTGACTCTCCTTCTGAAGCTTCCTAAGAGTGTGTATATTGGCTGTTCTTTA